TGCTGCTGGGTTGCTCCAGTAGCACCGAGGAGCAGCGCTACTGGAGCAACCCAGCAGCACCCCTGCTCCCCTCCCCCAGGCGTCCCCAAGTCAGCTTCTGCTGAAACTGACCAGCGCTGACTACAGGAAGCATGAGGCAGAGTTGCTCTGCCCCGGGCTTCCTGGAATCAGCTGCTGATCAGTTTCAGCAGCAGCTGACTTGGGGACGCCTGGGGTTCTTAAGTTGATTCTGTATGTAAGTCAGAACTGGCGGTCAGTTTCAGCAGTGTCTGAATCTGGACGCCAGTTCCGACTTACATACAGATTCAACTTAAGAACAAACCTACAGTCCCTATCTTGTACGTAACCCGGGGACTGCCTGTATATGTATAAAATGATGGGAATTAAATTGGCTATTACCACTTGAGAGAGATTTTGAAGTCATTGCACATAGTTTTCAGAAAACATCCGCTCAATATGCAGCGGCAGTCAATAAAGCAAACAGAAAGTAAGGAATCATTAAGAAAGGAATACAGAATAAGACTGTGACTCTTATTGCCTCTGTATAAACCCACACTATGCCCATATCTTGAATATTGTGTACAGATGTGGTTGCCTCATATAAAAAAAGATGTCTTCGCATTGAATATAGTGCAGAAAAGGGCAACAAAAATTATTAGGGATATGGAATGGCTGCCATATGAGAATAATTTAATAAAACTGGGACATCTCTGCTTGGAAAAGAGATGGCTAAAGGGGGATATGATAAGGTCTATAAAACTATGACTAGCTTGGAGAAAGTAAATAAGAAAGTGTTATTTACTTGTTCCCATAATTAGCCGGGATGGGCAGGGATGGTGTCCTTAGAAGCTGGAAATAGGCAACAGTGGATGGATCACCTTTTCATTCACTTCCTCTGGGGCACCTGGCATTGGCCACTGTCAGGAGACAGGATACTGAGCTGTGTGGACCTTTGGTCTGACTTGGTATGGCTGTTCTTATGTACTTAACTGTGAAGGGTGGCTGATGGGAGCCAGGTGTGGTTCCCTGATTAAGGGCTGCCGGCCTCCAGTGGAAATTAGAACAGGAGTGGAGCTCAGTGGTTAGGGTGACCATCCGTCCTGTTTTTACTTAAGGGCTGTTCCCGGCATCCCAACTTTTTTTTTTAAAGGGCACATTTTTCCATATTTCCCCCTCAGCAGGGGGCAGAGAGGAGCAGCCAGAATTCAGGGCTTCAGCCACTGAAGTCCCAGCACCAGTCGCTCCTCTCTCCGCCCCACCCAGCATGTTGCATGGTTGAACTTCATCCCTGCAGTGGAGGAAGGAACTGCCAGCACCTGAAGTTTCAGCTGCTGCTGCCAATGGCTCCTTTCGTCAACTATTCTGGGGCTATAGCCCCAAGCACCCCCAAATGCTGGTGGCTCCTTTCCCCCCACCCCACCCTGTGGGGCTGGAGCCCCGAATGCTGGCAGCTCTCCCTCCCCCCCCCAACACGGGTCTGGAGCCCTGAGTGTGCCCCTCCCCTCAGGACTGAAGCCCCAAGCACCAGCAGCCCCTCTCTTGGTGTCCCATATTTGGCCTGGGGAAATACAGTCACCCTATCAATGGTACCCACAGTCTCTTCTCTTAAGCTGGAGATGAAAGGGGCTGATGTAGAAGGAACATACATCACCTCTGCTAGCACTTTGCACTTCAGCATGGTAGAGAATCCAACTCATATTTTTCTAATTTCTGTCAGAAGCAGCTATGTGGCTGCTTGTACTTATAGTAGGTTACAAAATGTTGAGAGAATTGTCTTTCCACATACCTGTGTGTATTTATTTTTGCCTCCTTTTTTGCTAGCTCTGAGTAGATCTGCAGAGTTACTTGGGCTGGACTCAACACAACTGACTGAAGTATTGACACAGAGATCAATGATACTCAGGGGAGAAGAAATCTTAACACCTCTCAGCATACAACAGGTAAAGATATACCATTCTGGATTTATTTTTAACAAAACAATTGAGGTGGACCTCCAGCTGATGTAAAACCAGCATAGTGTTCCATTGAGGTCAAGGACTACAATGAACTGATAGCTTGAAGCATGTATAAGGACTTGTCTGCTCAGGGGCACTGAGAAAAATTAATCTGAATTAACAAAATTTGAATGAAAGGGGTCTTCATTCTGTGTCCTAAAAGGAACTTAATTTGCTTTAACTAAACCAGTTTTAATTCTCAGCTTTGGTCAGTGGGGATTAATGTTCTTCAACAACCCCAAGTAGACAAACCCTAAGAAGCTGATGTTAAAATTTTAGTCAGATACTTTGTTAGGGAGTATCGGTGGGGGAGTAGCCGTATTAGTCTGTATCTGCAAAAAATAAAAATGCCGGAAAAGAGCGTCTACACTGGCCCCAATCCTCCGGAAAAAAGCCCTTTTCTGGAGGATCTCTTATTCCTACTTTGAAGTAGATGAAGGTGCTTTGAAGTAGGAATAAGAGATCCTCCGGAAAAGGGCTTTTTTCCGGAGGATCGGGGCCAGTGTAGACGCTCTTTTCTGGCTTTTCTAAAAGCCGGAAAAAAGCGGTGGACATTTTTATTTAAATGCCGCGGGGGATATTTAAATCCCCCGCAGATTTCCCTATTACGACCTGTGAAATTAGCATGCCCCTTTCGGAAAAGGGGCCAGTGTAGACAAGCCCTAACAGATTTATTTGGGCATAAGCTTCCATGGGCAGAAATCCACTTTCTCAGATAAATCTGAGCATGGGGTTACATTCCTGACCATGCTGGCTAATGACCATTGATATTCTCCATGAACTGACCTACTTCTTTTTTAATGCAGATATATTTTCATCCATGGCAATGAGTTCCATAATTAATTGCATATTGTGTGAAAAAGTACTTCCTCTTTATTTGTATTAAACTTGCTGCCTGTTAATTTTATCGGGCAACTACTAGTTTGTGAAACTGTGGAAAAACACTTAAATAGCACTTTTCACTTTTTCCGCACTTTTCATTTTTTCCACACCATTCATGATTTTATAGATCTCTATAGAAGAGCAGGAAGCCCTTCCTTTAAGGTTACATGACACTTTTCAGTATAACGACCGTGTTTTTAGTTGCCTATGACTTTGTCAGACTGAACCATTTGGATTAAAATTTCCCAAGCAAGATGCCTATCCATGCTCAGTTTATTCTGGAAAGTTTCAGCAAAATATGATTCAGTGATTTCTGAGAATGAGATTAGGGAAAAGTGTACATTCCTAAATATGTTAAATATAAAGGAGCCAAATTTAGGTAGCACAGGTACTCTTAATTGCATTATTTTGTAATTTTTGAATGTTTGACTTTGAAACCTTAGCTTATTTTTAAATTTAATACAAATACTGAATTATAACTCACAGTGGATCACAGTTAGTGATTTAATCGTAATCAATTTGATGAAAATATGAAACTGTATGGTATTCTTCACTGCACTGTGGAAAGGACGCTGTATAAAGGACACTGGTAAAATGTGATTTCTAAGTAAGTTATTATGCTATGTATTACCTATCTAATGCAGGCGGTGGATAGCAGAGATTCTGTGGCAATGGCACTTTACTCCCAGTGTTTTGCATGGGTTATTAAAAAAATCAACAGCAGGATCAGAGGCAAAGAAGATTTCAAGTCCATCGGAATTCTAGATATATTTGGATTTGAAAACTTTGAGGTATGTTCCAAAAAATTGCTGAGAATTAATTCTTTAATTTGTATCTATGCCATTGTTCAACAATTCCACATAATTTCTCTGGAACTGGATTATCAAATGTTTTATGACTCAAAACAAATCAGTTTATCCTTTACAAAACAAATGTTTTTTGAAGTATTTACTTTTAAATGTCTGGTCTTTTAGGTTAATCGTTTTGAGCAGTTCAATATTAACTATGCAAATGAAAAGCTTCAGGAATATTTCAACAAGCACATTTTTTCCTTGGAGCAACTGGAATATAGCAGGTAAGAATTAAAGCTGGAGTTTGAAAGGTGCCTAGGGAAGAGAAATACTCTAATCTATGAAATTCATGTGCCCTAGTCCCATGAGCACCTTTTAAAAATCCAGGCCTATAGCTGAATATCATTTTAGAAACCAATTGATTTTAATTTTACTTGGCATAGCAAAAATATACCCTGAACATGTTTGTAATTAAGAATAAAATGCCCCCTCTTTCTTTATACTAGAGAAGGACTAGTTTGGGAAGATATTGACTGGACAGACAATGGAGAGTGCCTGGACCTTATTGAAAAGGTAATAAAATATTTGATATTGTGGGATGTCTGGATAAATGACTATATTCTCAAGGGCTGTGTCTAGACTGGCAAGTTTTTCCACAAAAGCAGTTGCGGAAAAGCGCATCTAGATTGGCACGGACGCTTTTCCGCAAAAAATGCTTTTGCTCAAAAGCGTCCGTGCCAATCTAGACGCTCTTTTTTGCAAATGCTTTTAACGGAAAACTTTTCCGTTAAAAGCATTTGCAGAAAATCATGCCAGTCTAGATATAGCCAAGGTGTTTTCATTATTTGAGTGAGCAGGAGTTTTAAAGCAGTATATGATCTTAAATTTCTTTTCCTAAATGTAGAATTTTGCTTTTCAGTGTGTCTAGTCTTCTTTTATTGCCTATATTCCCCCCTGCCACAGTGTCTCCAGGTCACTTTTTCAATTTAGTTCTGTCTTGCTGTGTTTTTATTAGCACCTCTCCCCTAGATTTGTTTCATCAATAAAACTGATTATGATTTAACAAATACCAAAAGCAAAAACAAAAAACAAAAAGCCCTACACCCCACAGAACATGGAACGGCATGAAACAGTTTCAAGGAGTGTTGATATGTATGAATGCATATGGTTTTGATTGGGTCTAGAGAAAGGTGATTCAAGTGATCTATTCAAGTGCTTTCCTTGGAATCAGTAACTCATTATTTTCTGTCCCCGCTCAATAGTGACTCTGGGGCACAGGACAGGCTACTTAAACTCAGCATCCCATACAGTAGAACTATACCAGATGCCCACTTCCTAAGGGTGTTGTGAGAATTAATCAATGTGTGTAAAGTACTTATAAAAGATTAGATGTGGTGGTGTTTATTATCATTTGTATTCAGCTGGTTTTAAAAGATTCTGGGAACCTTAAAAGAGCCTGAGATCAGGAGGCAATCATCAGTAACTGACTTAAAAAAGACACTGGTTTCACCACGGACAGAAGCAGCTTGGTGTACCACTTTGAGGTGTTCCTCAAACCTCAGGCTGAGAATACTTGTGCAAATACCACATGGCAATTTCTAGAGATTCAGAATACAGCTCCAATTGAACTATTGGCTCACCCAAAGCAAATAAATCCCCTTCACTTAAACAATGACTTTGGACTAAAAAAGTACTTCAGTGTCTGCTTTTTCCTCCATTGTTTTATCTTTACCTACTTTATGTTCCTTTTCTCTAACAGTGTTATAACTTCCTGTGAGAATTTTATGGTATAGTGGTTCATTTATGTTCTCTTGATGCATTCTGTTTGACAGTATCTTAAAGGCTATTTTCACACATATACAAGAACTTTCCAAGCTATTGGAAAGATCACGTAAATGCCGTATGAATTAATTTAGCTTTGTTCTCTTTATTTTTACTGATCTAGAAACTTGGTCTGCTAGCACTGATCAATGAAGAGAGCCATTTTCCTCAAGCAACTGACTCCACCTTGTTGGAAAAGTTACACTCCCAACATGCTGTATGTTGTATTCTAATTTATTTTGTGTGTCATTTGTAAGGTTCTTTGTTTCTACAGATGTTTGTGATTCATATGCTCGGATGTGTAATATTCCAATACATATTAGGCATAATTCTATTTCTGGTAAAATCAGTGACCAAGTCATTTGCTTTAGTGGAAGCAAGATGGAGTTTTTTATCTGAAAATTCACAATCTGGATGTAGGGTTGCCAGATGGTTGAACCAAAAATACCGAACCCCCTCTCCCCCCCAAAAAAACACCGGGAAAAAAATTTTGTTGAAGAAAAAAAAAAAGAGACTTATTAAGCAATAAATAAATAAATAATAAAACAGCATGGCCCCTTTCAGAGTGAATGCAGTCAGAATAAGAATAGGAACAGGGGAGTGGTTGAGCACTAAGACCCAGTGGAGGCATTGCTTCCCTTTGGTTTTTTTGCTGGCAGCCATTTTGTGTTCTTAGAACTTAGGGTACGTCTAGACTACATGCCTCTGTCACCAGAGGCATGTAGATTAGGCTACCTGGCATAGGAAAATGAAGCGGCGATTTAAATAATCGCCGCTTCATTTAAATTTACATGGCTGCCGCGCTGAGCCGACAAACAGCTGATCAGCTGTTTGTCGGCTCAGCGCGGCAGCCCTGTAAATTT